TTCCATTGTCGTGAAGCTTGCTTCAAACCACATAGTGATTTGAGAAGTTTACATACCTTGTACTACTAATATCTATGAAAATCCTGTGGTAGATCCATGTACACTTCTTCAAATAGATCTCCTTGCAAAAAGGCATCATTGACATCCATTTGTGATAATTCCCAATTTTTTGAGGCTGCAAGTGCTAACACTATCCTCACAGTTATCATTTTGGTAACTAGGAGAATGTTTTATGATAGTCCAAGCCCTCTTGTTGTGTGTATCCCTTTGCCACCAACATGGCCTTGTATTTATCTACCTCTCCATTGGCTTTGTACTTAATCTTATACACCCACTTAGAACCCACTGTTTGTCTGCCCAGTGGGAGATCAACAACCTCCCAAGTATGGTTGTCTTCCAATGCGTTGATTTCCTGCTTCATGGCTTCTATCCACTTCTCATCTTGAGCTACTTCTTTGAAGCTTCTTGGTTTGGTGGAGGTTGTAACAAGTCCAACATATGTCTGGTAAGTTGTATAAAGGTGGTTATAGGACACATAGTTGGTGATAGGATATTTGCAAAATACGGAAGATGTTTTTCCAGTGACATAATGTTTTAGCCATGTTAGAGGTTTTGTCTCCCTACTAGGTTTGGTTCAATCCATCTTTTGACCATCAGGATGTTCCCCTGCAGTTTGGGCATCTGTGAAGGTTCCATGTTAAGTATGATCATATGAGTATTCAGGCTCTGAGTTGACATCACTTGTGTTGGAATTCTGTTCATTAGGCATTTCAGGCTCTGACTCTGAGATGATATCGTCTTCCTCTAAATGTGTTGCTTTTGAGGGAATCTCAATAGTTGTCTCTTGCTCAGCAACTGGGTTAACAGTTGTCTCCTGCTAAGTAACTGGCTATGTCGAAACTCCTTTTCTGGATTGGCTAATTGCATATCTTTATGTGCTATAGGATCTACCAGGAACATGCCATCTTCTCCAATAACTTCATGTCTCTTTTCTATCAAAGAAAAAATATCCTCACTAAAAGACACATCTCTGCTTACAAAAAAGATCTGTGACTCCAAATTATACAGCCTATACCCCTTTTGTGTTTGTGAGTATCCTATGAACACTGTCTTCTTTGTTCGTGTATCAAACTTATCTTCCCTTGGTAAGACACTAGCATAATACAAACAACCAAATATTCTTAGGTGCTCTATTTTAGGTGCCTTCCCATGAAGCATTTCATAGGGTGATTTTCCATTTAGTACTACAGTAGTAAGTTTGTTAATCAAATGGACTGCAGTTCTAATGCATTCACCTAGAATCTAATTGGGACAACACTTTGAAGTTTTAGAGCCCTTGCAACTTCCAGAATATGCATGTATTTTCTCTCTACAATCCTATTTTGTTGTGGCGTATATGGACAATTACTTTGATGAGTTACTCCAAGAGCAGAAAGTAAATCATTGCATTTAGAATTAAAAAACTCTGTGCCATTGTTTTTTTATCTCAACACCTTAACTGTCATAGCAAACTGATTTTTTATCATTGAGAAGAAATTTGCCAATACAACCAATACCTCACACTTAGACTGTATTAGGCAAACTTGAGTGTATCTACTAAAGTAATCAACAATTGCGACAAAGTAATGCTTCGTATCATGTGTATGCCTCTTATAGGGATCCCAAATATCTAAATGTATAAGCTGAAAAATACAACCTGATTTACTGCTACTAACAGGGAAGATTGATCTATGTTGTGTTGCCATTGGACATACTTGACACTTCTGTTGGACACACTCATTTGCTAAATTTCTCAAAACAGATATGTGTTGCATTACCTTTACGGAATGATGTCCTAGTCTTGAGTGCCACAATTTTGTGTCATGTCTCCCTTTTATTACTGCTGCTCCTACTATTGGTTTTATATCTTCTTGGAGAATGTAGAGACCATCATATTCTCCATCAATCCGTATCACCTTACCACTGTAAAGACCCTGAAGAAGACAAAAACCAGGAAAGAATTTAACAGTACAAACAAGGTCCCTGGTTAGCTTGGCTACTAAAAGTAGATTAAACTTGAAATCTGGTACATGTAGGACATTTCTGATCCTTTGACCTCCTAAAATTGTTACATCTCTTATATCAGTTATCTGTGTCTTGTTCCCATTTGGTACCTGTATTTTTCTACCTTCTTAATTCCTTAGTTTCCTAATGTTAACTAGTTCTGCTTTACAGGAAGTAATATGATGAGATGCTCCTGAATTTATAATCCATTCAATACCATATATTTTGGATAGCAGGGAGACAATACCTGCTATATTGGTTCTGCAGTCATCAGATGATGCTGATTTGTTTAACAAATTCACCAGCTGCTTATACTCCTCTTATGTAAAGAAATGTCCTTGTGATTGACCTTCAGCAGAGTTAGTTCCCTCAAATGTTGTGTTGTTCACATAGGTTTTGAAACCAGTACCCTGCATTGGCTTCTTTTTGCTTTTAAAATCAGGTGGATACCCCACAATTTTGTAACAGTTTTCCTTTTGATGTCCCTTATACCAACTGGGTTCGCAAATCACATCAGGCTTCTTTCCTTTCATCATTTGTCCTCTTCCAGCTAGCATGGTTAATGGTTCCTTGTTCAAGTCTATTACACCAAGAGCTCGTTGAGTCTCTTCCTATATTATTAAGGCATATGCTTGGTTTACTGTTAGTACAGGAGTTTTCAACAGAATCTGACTACGAACATGAGCATAAGTCTCATTTAATCCAACTAGAAATTGCACTAGTCGTTGTTGATAGAATATTTCAAAGAATGGTTCTGATTCTTTGCAATTATACCCACGACCTGGTATCAAGGTGTCATGTTCATCCCAAAGGTCCTTCATTCTTGTGAAATATGTAGTAAAATAATCCGTACCTTAAGTTAGGGTTCCAATTTGAGTCCAAAGATTATAGAATCTAGTCAAATTCTATTTTCCAAACCTTTACTTGAACTCAACCCACATCTTTGAAGCATTTGATGCATACACTATGCTCGACAGTAATTCCTGCAAAACACTCCTTCTAATCCACGAAAGTACCACATCATTACATTGCTCCGACTGATCTTCTAATTCATCTTTATACAAGCTCTTCACACACGTTCCTTCTATGAAACCTAACTTGTTCTTCCCAATAAAGCCAAACGCATCGACCTACTCTACAATCCGTAATTCTCTGGACCTGTGAGTTTGATATCTATCAAAATTGCTCCAGGTATATCATAAGGTAGAGAAGATGACGATGGTCAATTTGAGGTGTCGAGGTATCTCCTATGGCGGATTTTTCTAGAACTTGTAACTGTGAATCAGCTGAGTGAAGAAGAAGCAGTATCAATTTAGTATCAATTTCCCTAATCGTTGCTATGATACCATGTTAGAATAAGAAACCTCCATTGGAGGTCATCACACATTCTAGAAGATAGTAGAGAGAAGAGATAAGAGAGAAGGAAGAAGAGATGATGCGAAATGAAGATCTAATTCATTTCATTCAGTGATGAAACAATACATATATACACTCATCACTCAACTCACACGTGCACGTAACTAATTAACCAACTGGACATGTGACTCCTAACAGGGAGAACCCTAATTGATGAGGGAAAGCCCCTAAAATCTAAATTAACATCATTTTATTCCCATAAGAAATAATACACGTTGATCTACACTTCTTAATTATTAGTAATGTATTTTTGTATCATTGATTTCTAATTTAGCTGAAGATTTAATTTGTCTGAGGGGTTTGTTGGAGTGATTATGATATGATTAATTACTTTTACGCTTACGTACTATGTACTAAACTTTAATGACTTTATTTGAATTTTTTATTCGTTAACACAGAGATTCTCGTGAAAAAGTCTTTTATCATATCATGCCATCTATGTCTAAAAAAGGTTAAATGACGAGAAAAATATGGTGAAATATAATCCGTTTGTTAGATACTCCTCCCATCCCATTTTAACGGTCTCTTTAGCTCAAAAAGATTGTTCCAAAATAAGTTTCGCTTTAGGAATTCAAGACTAAATTTACAAATAGTTTCCAGCTATACCTTTAATACTAAAGAAATAGTATTTCTTTTTAATACTAGCTCAATGCTCAAAAGTATTTACTAGGGAAAACTAAGTAAATTATGCCTTGTATTTATTATTTTTCTTAATATGCGTAAAAAGAGCTAAAACGACAATTAGAGGGAGTACACTGGTAATTGAAGTGTTCATTAAATCTTAATGGATTGACATGATTTTGTGTTATATTTATTTTATCTATCTTATTAAGTATTCACAAAATTTTGCCGGATTAACATGAATTTAATTATTTACAAAATCCCTTGAGATTGGCATGACTTCAATTATTTATACAATCTCACAAGATTGGTATGCCTTTGTGTTATATACGTTCTACCTATCCTGTTCAATTATTCACAAATTCTACCATATTGGTATGACTTTGTACTTATTTAATTGTTCACCAAACCCTATCAAATTGGCAATGATTTTGTGTTATATGCATTCGACCTATTTGTTAAATTATTTACAAACTCTACCCGATTGACATAATTTTGTGAATGTTTAATTGTTCATCAAACTCTACCATATTGACATGACTTTTGTGTTAACTGCATTCGACCTATTTGTTAAATTGTTCACAAGTTATATCTGATTGGCATGACTTTGTATTATACCAAACGCTATCATATTAGTATGACTTTATGTTTTCTGCATTCGACCTATTTGTTAAATTGGCATGACTTTTATGTTATCATATTGGCATGACTTTGTGATTATTCAATTGTTCATCAAACTCTACCATATTGACATGACTTTGCTCTATCAACATTTGACTTATTTGTTAAATTGTTCACAAGTTCTACCTGATTATCATGATTGCTCAAGGAAGTTGTGAACTTTAAGGAACGTAAATGGAAACATGATTCACAAAAAAATGATACAATAGTATTCTTAAATATTCGAACGAGCTGCAGAATGCAATCAAGCCTAATCCTACGAATAAACATACATTTTATAACAAAATTAGATCCTAAAAATAGAATCAAACATTCGAAAACAAGAAACTGGGTATATTAAACATTCGCTTCCAGATTGCTACTCGTTGTATTTGTGTGTTTATAATTTGTGAAGTGACTATAACTGATCAGTCAAGCCAAAACTAAGTATACGCTTATGGTTCCCGACGGAGAGATCGATTTCAGTCATTTATTCTGGGGGAATTTTCTTATCAAGTAACCTTTCTCTTGCTTCCTTGGCCTGCAAGTGTTAAGAAATTTTTAATATATAGATTTTTCCTAAAAGACAAGTCAAACTGCAAGTATCCATCAACTAAAGAAAGTTTGTATAGCTACCTGTTTTTCCCAATCAGAGAGACAAGTGACAATAGAAAGCAGAATTGTTTGCACAATTGACCCCATGATTATTCCACTCCACATGCCCTTTGCTCTCCAATTCAAAACGAATCCCATAAGTAAAGAGGCAGGAATTCCAACCAAGTAATATGCTCCTGAATTTACATACACCCCAATATGTTGCCAACCACTTCCTCTAGCAACTCCTGATGTAGGGAGAGGAACGCGTATTAATAACTCTTGATTTCTTAAAAGCAACCCTTATTTTGGACGGGAGGGAGTAACTAGTTAGGCAAACATTTATCTTCATACAGATGAAAAATTGAACGTTTGACATCGTTCATCTTTGGCGTTTAAAATGAGAGCTGTTTATTACCCTATCGATGAAAAGAGTGGTGAAGAACAATGACCTGATACTATGCTATTTAGGATGATGGAGAGGCAGAGAAGAGGAGTAAGTTCTTCGATAAGATTGACCACTTCTTCTTCATGTGTGAAGCCAATCCCCATACATTACGCAACCAAAAAATAATCGCACTTGCCAGAAGGAACTCTACAGTTGCTAGAGCGAAGACTACATAAGTAGAAATTCTAACTGCTTTTGGATTCCCAGCTCCCAACTCGTTTGAAATCCGAGTGCTACAAAATGGTAATTACGAGGTAATTATTATATATAAGAATGTCATTCGTACAATACTAATACAAAATCCGTTGTTAGGAAGTAAACCTTGCAGCAGCACCAAAAGAATAGGATAGCTGGAAGTGTATTTGAGAGGTTGTAAGGCTGCATATCCAAAGAAATTTTAAACAATGTTATTTAAGGGTTCTGAATTTTTCTACACACAATCAAAATGGGAAGTTTAAAGATTGTAGAGTTGCACAGCAAATAGATAGAACAGAAGTCCCTAGTTGTGGATTTGGTAGCAATCCACACGTCAACGTAATTAGCTCAACTGCCCACCATCTCAAACTACAAAGAAGATATGAAAGTAGTAATATAATTTAGGCCTTACATAAAGTTTCAAACAACAGAAAGACAAGATTTCTACGGAGTAAGAAAGTTAATAATTAAATTACCAAACCATTCCTGCAGATGGGATGGCAAATTGGAAGAACTGCGGCATAATAATAAAAACATCCTTTGAGAAAAAGGGACGCGTCTTTTGACAGGTTAATGAAGACTTCAGATAAAGCACAAGCAAGATCACGTTCAACGAATATGACAAACCAATTGCCATAGCTACACCACTGGTCCCTAACTTAAATTTGAATATCAAAGCCCAACTGAGAGGTAAATTAAGGCATAGCGACACTACTGAGCTCCATAGCATCGGAAGGATTAAACTTTGGGTCTGGAAATAGCAATTAAGCGACTGCAGAATTGCATAGGGAAAAAGAGATGAAATGAGCCAAATCGAGTATTTCCCAGCCTCAACAGAGATCGAAGGATCTTGTCCAATCCATATAAGCAATTTGTCAGTGAAGATCCATAGAAGAGAGACTGGTAAACAAAAGAATAAAAGAAATATGACTGCGGCATAAGTAATAGTGCCAACTTTTTGAAATTGCCTTGCTCCATAGGCCTGCCCACATAAAGTTTCTAATCCACTTGCCATTCCGTACTGTATTCAAAATCAAACAATTTTAGTTTAGGCATTGGTAAATTAAAAGAAAAAGACATTCACATTTGGGTAAGTAAACATTACAATTTCAAACAAAAAAGAGCTTACAAGAAGAGAGAAGCCAGTGACATTGCAAAAAGGTGAGGCAATGGAGGCACTGGAAAGGGAGAGTTCACTTAATTGACCCAACATAACCATAGGTGCATAGCGCAACAGGAATTGCAAAAGCATCACTACTATCATTGGAAACGCTATGCGACTAACCTCTTTCACTTCTTTTATAAAGATCGCCCTTTTGCTTAAGTCTTTGTTCAATGGCAATTGGCAGCAAAGCCTCTTCCATTTTCTTGAACTTCGATCTTCTCGTAGATTGTTCAGGCCTCATCGACCAATCCTTAATGGTTGATAGACATGATGGTTATCACGAAAATTATTATAAGCTTGCGGAAAAGACACATAATTAATGAAAGGGAGGACTGAATAGGCTAAAAATCTGCCTTTGGAATATTTAGCATAAAATGGCATTAAAGAACGTCATCGGCCGTGCTCACCCAACACAGCGAGATTAATGGCCGAGGTGTCGATAAGAGCCGTGGTCGCTACATCGATAGAGATCGTGGTCAAGATGTCAACAAGGGTCGAGGCCGAGATCGATTACTAGTGATAAAACTTGTAATGGCTAATTTGTCGGAACAGGGTATTAAAAGGGGAATATTCTAGTGAATATTACTAATGTTTGTACTATTATGGCTTCCTAAGAAAAAAACCTCATATATATAGAAAGAAGAGACAATGTAATATTGATTCTGATAAGATTACTTTTGAAACGAAGACTTTCTCTCTTGCAAAAAAAAATAAACAAAGACTAAATTTTGATAAAGATTCTGGGCCATATCATTCTCACCTTTATAATTTCCACCGGATCCGAAGATTGTTCATACAAATCTTGAACTTATCTGTCATTCATCATTGCGAAGAGAAATATTCGTTCAACCCACTCATTATTGGGTCAATCTTTTTCCTTATTTACTTAACTGCCATTTATTATTAGTTATACCTCCATTAATGTTCAGGCTTAGGATATTTTGCATTCATCGTCATCAATCATTTATGGGATATGTCCTCTCTACTATACGTTTTCAAGATTAATATCTAGAGTTATTATCCTTAACTAGATTTAACCCCCTTGTTACATAAATTTAATAGTTTAACCGGAAGTTATATTTTTCGGTCAAACAAGGTCAGCTGGAAAGATTTAAAATTTGCGAAAAGATTTAGCCACGGTTGCAGAGTATTTCATGGAATTTTATATAGTTCTGCTAATTTTTAAACACATGCAGATTCTAGCTGACTTCTGGAAAATTTAATGTGATCTCGTGGAATGAATCACAGGATACAATATTTTACTTTCACTTGAAATATATTAATTAAGCCTCATAACCTATCGCAATACACATCATGAACAAAACTACGCTTCACCAGTTTCACACTCGCTTCTATACACAACCACGTTTCAAATTAACTATCCCATTAATGTTCCACGAAGAAGAAGAATATTGATACTTCTATTAAATAATTTTGTGGACCTTCCAAGTTTCTCTACAACATTGAAATTTGGACAGAGGAAAATAATGTATATCCGACGTAGAATAGTTTCCTTAATCCTTGATACAATAAATTTTTGGTATTTAGTTACATGGAATTGTTGAAAATATATTCTAAGTGAAGGGTGATTAAAGAATCCTTTAATTATCTATCATCTTTGAGACTACTAGCTTAGACAGACTGCCAACGCTAGTATTACTGCAATATTAATTAACGTCACATGCAAATAATGTTTCACTACTTACTGCTGCTATATTACGAAGTATATATAAATAGAGGTTTACTAACTGTCAGGTAAGGGTTACATAGATCGGGTTGGTTAAAATTTTTCAATTACCAAACCAAATCGACGGTGTCGCGTTTTTAAATCTATAAACCAAATTAAAACCAATAAAGTCGGATTTTTCAATCTCGGGTTTTCTTGTAGTTTTAGGTTTTTTCAGGTTTTTTCCGGTAAAGTCTTCATAGCACAAAATATGTAACTTGTGCTCCAAATATTTCTTTAATCCTAGTAAGATACAACTATATAATGTATTTTCCAAAAAAAATAACATAATAATATGAGATAAGTCATAACATTATACCAAAATATTCAATAACAAAAATAATAAAATTACATCAAGCTAATATTGCTAATTAATAAGCCATAATAAAAATTAAATTAATCTAAAAATACTATATAGGTCATGCTAAAATAAGTATAGCTAATAAGTACTATTTAATTACATAACTAAGCACTATAAAAAAGATAAACTAAGTTATGCATTTTCATTATAAACTAATGTAAAACTAAAAAATAGATATCCAACACTATCGTCATTCCTAGTGTTGAATTGAATTTATGTTGTTAGCATTAGTATTGGTTTGAACTTTGTTTGAGTTACTACATTTATGGATTATAAAATTTATTTACAATTCAAAAATGCTATGTCCAAATTTAAAATAATATGCTAAAAGATAAAACTATAAAAAAAATTAAGAAATATTTATAAATTACAATACAATAAATATTTATATGTTTCAACTATAAACGACCTACCCGATCATTATTTGAAGGAAGATTCTAGAAACCTCTTTACAGATTTATTTTTGTTAAACTAACCACCTCTCTTATGGTTTGAAATACTCTTTACATCCTTTCTTTTGATGGCTATCCTTCTGCAAGTCCATTTCTATTTAATTAAAAAGTTCATTCTCTTGGTCTTTATGAACGTCAAATTCTCAAGAACACAAAATACTACGCTTCACTCAAGCCAAATTAAGCTACATCTTATTGTTCCGTTGGAAATATCATGCGTGTGTTCTCGTGCATTGTTTGAGTCATTCAATATTCTGCTGGAAGTTTTCCATCAAACAACCTTTCTCTTACTTCCTTAGCCTGTAATGTTAACACGCACACAAATTCAGAACTGTCGTAAATTCTTGATAAAAAAGACTACATCTCCAGAACAACATCAAATAATTTGTTCAATCACTAAAGCCAAAAAGGGTTCTTTTCTTTTTAACTACAGGGATAAACATAGATGATAGACATAACAAACCAAACGAATAACATTTTTTTATTTTTTATTTTATTTTTTGACAGTTTTCATACATGTATTTTGGGTTACATAGGTTTGCCAAATTGATCCAAGCTATTGCATAGTTCAATTTAGCCACAATCCAGGTTGACCTGTATCCATTAAATAAATTCTTAACACAACCCGTCCAGATCTGGACCATATACTTTTTTTGGGCATCGCCAATAAAACGAAGTTGTAATAGCTACCTGTTTCTCCCAATCTGTGAAAGCAGTGATAAATGAAAGCAGAATTGTTTGCACTGTGGAACCTATGAGTAATATGATCCTAAATTCACATAGGCTCCTATATGTTACCATCCACCTCCTGTTGCTACTCCTGCAGGGAATTTAAAGCATACTGTATAGGGGTAAAACTGAGCTCAATGTTCGATCTAGCTTCCGAAACGGTAGGCCAGGATCAATAAATCTGTAATTGGGTAAAAGTCGATGTTCGAAGCTCGATCTGACGTTCTACACGGTCAGCCAAGATCGGAATATGATATTTAAGATCGGACCCAAAGCATTATCAAAACTAGTCATCGAAACCATCAGATTGACCCTCGAGTTTATCGAAGGCATAACTGGTCCTATTTCTAACGATCTCGAAGAAACCTTTGCCAACTCATCCGACAGAGATCCTTAATTCTCGCAATTAACCGGTCATTATGGAAGAAATCACGGAACAAGTCAAAAAAGGAACTAACGGTCACCAAAATCAAGGACTTTTGCCTTTATGGAACAATAAAATAATGCCTTAAAAGGTAGGCCTCTCTTAATATATAAAGGGGACTTGACAATTCATAAAACAGATTGTAGCATATACTGATAAGCAATACATTCTCTAAGTTCTTACTCTTTGATATTTTGGTGTCAAATAAAGTGCATTCATTTCAAGGGTGGCCTACTTTCCTAAGCCGAAATCATCCAACTCACGTGGTTTACGGTTAATCTATCATTATTTATTTCAATTGCAATCTAATTTATCGCTTTGTATCAAGTTAATCCACATGTCCTTATAACCACTAACAAATTCAATTGTTATCCGATTTTGAGGGTAAACAGTTTGACGCTCACCGTGGAGCTAAGGATAATAGTGGTTATTTGATACAAATCTTCATAACATACACTATTTTACACTTGCTCTTTGAAGTATCTTTGATTTCAGGCTAAAAATGTCAAACTCTCAATTAGCACCCTTACATATTGACAACGAATCCGGTCATCATGGTGAGAATAACAACATAGCGCCCGGTAACATAGGGCCACTCGCTGGTCCTATAGGAATTTCGTTCGCAGATTCGATTGATGTTAATTCACATATGGCTAACAACGCCAACTTTCCTACCGACCCCGAAAATAACATTCGTGGTGGGGGCCGATCGGTAGCTCGAAACACACAAAACAATGAAGAATACGGGATCAACCTACTGATGATCTTCGAAATACTGCAAGCTCAACAGGTGGCGATAACTCAGTTGCAGAGCCAAAGCCATATGCCGAGAAGGGTTGAACTTGATCCGCCCCGTGATGTCACCCGCAGAAATGAACCGGTCGTAGTAAGGTCAAATGAACAAGAATCGAGTATTAACCCCGAGATTATAAAGATGCTCTAGGAGCTGACAAAGCGGATAGAATCAGGGAAAAACAAAATTGAAGTGAATGACAAAAAGGTGGAAACCTACAATTACAGGGTAGATCAAATCCGAGGAGCACCTCCGATATTGAAAGGACTAGATTCCAGGAAGTTCATGCAAAAACCTTTTCCTTCAAGCGCGGCTCCAAAGCAAATCCCCAAGAAATTCCGTATGCCCGAAATACCTAAGTATAACAGAACGACCGATCCAAACGACCATGTAACCTCTTACACGTGTGCCATCAAAGGGAACGACTTGGAAGACGACGAGATCGAGTCTGTTCTACTGAAAATATTTGGGGAGACCCTGTCAAAGGGAGCTATGACATGGTATCACAACTTACCTCCTAATTCTATTGATTCATTTTCTATGCTTGCAGACTCCTTCGTGAAAGCACATGCTGGTGCCATCAAGGTCGAAACTAGGAAATCGGACCTTTTCAAAGTTAAACGGAAGGACAACGAGATGCTCAGAGAATTCGTGTCCCGTTTCCAAATGGAACGAATGGATCTACCGCCAGTCGCTGATGATTGGGTTGTTCAAGATTTCACTCAGGGACTCAATATTTGGAGCTCAGTGGCTTCA